TATATATTTATTTTTTGTATTTTAGGGAAGGGTGTTCAGGGTATACAGGGTCTCACTGTGTAGATCTGACCTGTAGTGATCTGCCTGTTTACAGCCTCCTAAGAGCTGGGATTATAGGTGTGAGCCACCGTGCCCAGTCTCGGTGGCCGGCTCAGCACACTCAAGAGGCAGAGCTGTTGTGGCATGTGGTGCTTGGGATTGAACCCCAGTCCCTACGCTTGCCTAAGCAGGTGCTTAGTCAGCTGAGCTATCTCACCAGCTCAATGTGTTTTCATTTCCAACAGACAGCATCTTGCATTCTCCTATGTCTAATGTGAGTGGTACCTGGAAAGTTTTGTCTCCTCAAGGAAGCCACTGACATATAACCATGAAGATATTAAGGCTGCAGCTGCTTCACATGTGGGCTCACTCTGAGAGCCCTGGCTTCTATGGGCTCCAGAGCACCCCCATCAGACTGTGCCACAGTTACCCTCTGGGACAAGCTTGATACCACACCCTGTTGGTGTGTGTCTCACAACCTCACTTCAGTCCCCTTTTTCTGTGGAAATCTCTTCCTAATAAATGACTTCCACACAAACCTTCCTTTCAGAATCTGTTAGGGATCTATTTCAGAATCTATTAGGGAAATACTTGTGAGTAATGGATCTCAACATTATATTTTTTTATGGACATATTTTTGTCACTTGGCCCTGCCTGACTGATAAAATATATTAGCCAAATTTGAGGGATACGAGAAAAACAGAATAAAGAGGCAAATTTATAGCATCACACATATTTGTGAGAAAATAAGAAAGATTGACTTAAATCATCTAAGTTTTCAACTAAGAAGCTAGAAAAAGAACAATGCATGCAGTAGGTGCATAATCAGAGAGCACTAAAGGGGTGAAAGACAGTATTGGACCCTTCTTCACCAGTTACTTATTAAAAACTGTTTTCTTTGGAGGCAGACAGGGACTGAAAAGCAGTTAGTTTCTGTGGTCATTGGTCTATCAGTCTTTTTCTTTCTTTCTTTCTTTTTTTTTTTAATTTTTATTTATTTATTTATTTTGTGGCACCAGGGATTGAACTCAGGACCCTGTGCTTGCCAGGCAAGCACTTATGCTACTGAGCCATCTCCCCAGGCCCCAGTCTTTTTATTTCTTGAGTAAACTATAGTAAATTCTGTATCTTTCAGGCTTGCCAAATATTTTTCTGTAATCTCTTTAAAAGGTCAATGTTACCAGCCAAAGGACAGAATGTGCTTGCTTTGGGCAAGGACCTTTGGATAGTTCCCGTTTTATTTTAAAATTTTGCCGTTGGAGAATCTCCTAAGGATCATAGCCTTTGCCTATCATCCACTGGATCCTGATCTGAAGAACCCAAGGTAGAGTTTAGATAACATTTTTAGCTACCAAGAATACAAATGATACTTCCATTTTGTAGGACCTTGCCTTCTGATGTTAGTTTTATATCCAAATGCTAATTTTTTTTGCCTTCTGGACCTTGATCCCTGAAGAAGGCAGGGTGAAGACTACATCTGGATCCTTCTGGTGCTGGACTGCTTGGGTTACTTCTTAAATTCTCCACGCCTCAGTTTCATTTGAAAAGTGGCCATAGTCACAGTTACAGTGGTAATCACATGAGACCACAGAGGTCACGTGCTTTCAAAGCTCCTGGCATACAAGTTCCACTATTTTAAGTGCCATTCATTACTATTATTGTCACTATGATTATTATTCTAGATGACAGAGTAGCTAAATTTCTGTTTAAATAAGGATTATCTACTCTGCCTTATATTTAAGAAAAAATGCTCAGAAATCTCTGAGACTCTGGGCCAAAGCTTTGGTTTTAGAGAGCTTTGTTTTTTTTTGTTTTTTTGTTTTTTTTTTGACAATACTAGGGCCAAAGGGCCTTCTAAAATTTTGAGATACTAAGTCACTAATTTGTCTAGTCTCAGCCTGAACTTACAATTCTCTTACCTCAGCCTTTCAGAGTATGGGGATTACAGCCATGTGCTAATGTCCAGAGGGCCCCAAACTCTTATTTTTCCCCGCTTACCTCTTCAATGAGCCTCAGACATTCTGCCAGAGTGCTGTTAATCTTATTGCACAGGTTCAACTGTGCTTTCTTTTCTTCCTCTTCTTCTTCCATGCTCTTCCAGAATGAAATATTCATTTGCTCTATGACTTTTCTTTTTGTTTTAATTTCCATAGGGGGCCGTTTATAGATTTTCCCCTTAGATTTCTGCCATTCTTCTAGCTGTTTTCTGTTATGCAATTAAAGAGGAGAGAGGATGGCTTTAGTTTTTCTTCATACATGGTATGGTTCCTAAAGTGTATGATATACAGTGATCACCTATGACTAAACCTTCAATTATAGGCAAAGAGAACAGAATTAAAAAAACAATTCCAAACAGATAATGGCCATACTGGATGGTTCTCTCCTGTCAGAAGGCAGATTTCAGGTGTAGTGACACAGTCTGTAGTCCCAGGCTTGGGAGGCTGAGGCAAGATGATTGCCACGAGTTCAAGGCCAGCTAGTGAGTTTAACGTCAGACAGAACACAGTAAGACCCTGCCTCAAAAACAGAAACAACAAAAACCCCTAGAGGCAGATGTTAGGGTAACTAGGATCATGGGTGGCTATGGCGATAGTGCTTCAGTCTTCCTTAGTTTTGAGATCATTCCTGGTTATTTTTGTCAGAACCCCCGCCCCCCTCAGAGATCGCTGACACGGCGCTCCGTTTCTCCCACCACAGACTTGTTACTCGACCTACACCCACCAAAATGGCATTCTGTCCTCAGTGGGGTTTCGGTGCTCAGAGTGGCCAACTTCACTCAGCTCCTCAGCCCTCTCCAGACCACACACACCTCCTTTCCTTTCAGCAACTAGATGGATACCTCCAGGGCTCTTAAGTAGCTGGTCATGCCAAGTCCTAACCCTTGCGTCTTTCTCTTTCATCCTCTCTATCTTGCTTCCGAACAGGCCACGGTCTACATTTTGGGGGCAGAGGCACCAAGACATCTCTTAGGCTGTCCAGTTTCTTTAAGTTACAACTATGTATTTATGATTTCGAAGTGTGCACTTCAGTGTAGATTTCTTCCTGGACGCTCAATCTTTGTAGAATCTACAGCCTAGCTGTTAGGTTTTGCTGTCTGATAGATGTTTTAAATTTAATATTACCCAAAACAAAGTTCTTGATTTTCATCTCCAAATCTGCTCCCAGTTTTCTTTACTTTCCCAGTCTGCCCACTTTCTAGAGCCAAAAACTAGGAGCTATCTCTGAGCTTTTCCTTTCTTTTCTTCCTACTTACACATGACAGCAAGACTCACTGTTGCCTCTGTCTACGCTACTACTGTGCTGGCCTATGCCTTTTTCACCTTTGTTGGACAAGTCAGAGCAGCTCCTAATCACCCCTGGCTTCCACTGTAACCTTATCAAATTCACTGTACAAAGTAACTGATCTGTAAAATGTAAAGCAGACCATGTCATTGCCGAGGGGTTCCTGGGACTCTTGGAATGAAATTCAAAATGTTCTCCATGGCTGCAAAGCAGCCTAACCTGGCTCTTGTGTGTAACTCCACACTTGGGCCACCCCTCTCCCTGGAGCATGAGCCTCATTTCCATGCTCATTCCTGCCTCAGGGTCTTGCATCTTCAGGTCTCTACTCGCATGACACTTTCTTGAAGACAATTATCTGCCATTATCCTGTCTTATTTAATCAGTGTGTTCATCCCATCTCCTCTATTAGAACATAAAATCTATGAGAGTGGAAATAGACGTCCAGTGCCTGGCACTGTGCTCAGCACATGTAACTATTTAGCACCTATAGTAACATTCACTACTGTTAGTGTGTGATTACGTGGGAAGGGCCCCAAGTCATGTAACCATGACTACAATCAAGATGTGAGTCTGTCCTAACTCCTTAAAACATTTCTTTGTGTTACTTCATAGTCAACAGGGCCCCTAAGCCCAGCTCCTAGAAATCACTTGTCTGCTTTTGTCTTTATATTTTCTTTTCCCAGCATGACAATAACTAATTTTTAATAAATGAATGCCATTAGTTCTTTTGCTTTTCTCCCTTTGACTCCAGGGAACAATTCATTCATGCTTACTTCATCCCTGACTGCTCTCCCACTCATCCCTTTAAGCATCTACTCAGTGGTAGAAGCTGGGATATCTAACATGTTTTTCCTCTGGTTCCTCGGCAATCTTTCTATCTCCTTATTCTTCTGTCAAATCATACAGGAAGAGGGAACCTTCCTCTTCTGAAGCCAGCTTACTCCTAAGAGCTCAATGTCATTGCATTTTTCTAACATTCTCCATCTATGCACCAAACCACAGCTCTAGGGAAGGGCAGAGACTGTGTTCACCCCACACCATGTAACACCTGACACCTGCAGGCTTGAAGGGATGCCTGGTGAATAAATGATTTCCACATTCCGTCCCTTTGGAATCAAATACGCTTAGCAGGCCACACTGACAAACGCTCTGCTCTGACCTAGGCTGGAAGGCCAGGTAGCAGCCCTGACTTTATTTTCGATTTCAGCTAACTTTATGTGCTCCTTCACCCCTTGTCAGGTATACACGGGTGCTTCTCTTGGGAGGTTCTCCCACATTATGGTACTGTTTAGTCCTGGGTGGAAAGCATACAAACCTCTTTGGCTCATGCATCAAAATTCTTTCAAACACGAATGTTCATAAAAAGCCCCAGGAACCTGAGATGCTGATCTTCATCATCTCCATGCTGATAATTGTGCCTCTGCTTTAGCTTACTTTCTAAAACTCAGCTCACTCAGAATCATGGAAACGTTCCGTTTTTGCTTCCTTGCTAGCTTTACTAAACTCAATCACTGGTGTTCTGCCAGGGAACAGCTCCTCGCCTAGTTCCTGCCTGTGTCTCGTTCTCCTGATTCCTCCTAACCTGCCCTGTTCCCTTGCTCTTCAGTATTTCTTGGGTAGACTACATCGACAGACAGCTTAATTTCCTACTCATCCAGTCTCTGTATCTCAATTTCTTTTTAAAGATAATTTGAAACATAGAGTTATAGAGAATGACTTACAGTGGTCACTCACTCATCGTGGAGGTTAAGTTTCAGATAACCCAGTGAGAAGTGAAAAATCAGTGAAGTAATATTTTAGCATTTATATATACTTTAAGGCTTTAAAAACCCTTTCCACACTTCTATAAACCTTTCTCACACTTAAAAAAAAATACTTCTAATGTTCATAGCCATTTTCTAAAATTGTAAACCTACGTAATTTTAACTACATACATATAGTTTGGTACTGCAAAATCCTGTGATATAGCGAAAAATCTGTGATAATTTATGGATTTTTTCTTTTTTTTTTTGTGGCAGAACCGGGGATTAAACTCAGGCCCTTGTGCTTGCCAGGCAAGTACTTATTCTACTGAGTCATCTCCCTGGCCCCCTAAATATATATATATATATATATATATTTTGGCAGTACCAGGGATTGAACTCAGGACCCTGCGCTTGCCAGGGAAGCACTTATTCTGAGCTATCTCCCTGGCCCGGTGACAAATAATTTAGATTAATATGTTTTGAAAATCCATGAAACAGATTCTGTTAAAGTCGAACCACAAAATAGTGAGGGACTACTATATGACACATGTAGCACCTAGCTGTCAAGTCTTAATATTTGTTAGTTATTTCAAATCATTTTTTTAGGTAATGGCTAATAATTAATTACTTAGAAGTGATTATTTATGACCTATTTCCTAAGTAAGGATTCCTGATAGTCAACTTACCTACTTATTTTAGGTTGAAAATGACTGAAATTAAGACAATTACCTTCGATCCTCTGCTGTTGTCTTTTTAATATTGGGATTAGTTTGGGTACTATTTGGAATTCCTTTCCCATTTCCGGTTGTAATACTAGCTTGAGTTTTGGGAGCTGTCTTGCTCAGGAAATGCTTTGGGGGAAAAGTCTTTTTCAACTTGGGGCCCACAGTCTGTGCTCTTTGTTGAAAGCTGTTGGTTCTATTTGCCCTTATGCCAGGAGTGGTTGGAATGACTGAGTTGAAGTTGGTCAAATTAGGCCTCCGGCTTATGGATTTTGATCTTTGCAGTACACTTGTCTGGGACCTAAAACAAGGTTGTGCTGTCTTCTGATCTTGCTTGATGTTTGGAGGTCGGTTGGTAGGTCCTCCCTGCAGTGAACTGGGGCGTGGCCTGGTGTTGGCATGTTTTAGTTTCTCTTCAGTATTAGTGTATGACTGCACCTTAGTTACTTTTGATAGTTCATATTTACCCTTGTTAACCTTTATATCCTTTATGTTCTTGATCTCTGGTTTCTTTGGTGCTTGAGTCCTACTAAGGGTCTGAACGAAGTGAGAGGGAACTGTCCTTGAGGGCTTTTCTGGTCTTGCAAACTCTGCTCCTTTAGAGAGTTGCTGTAACTTTGCTGGGAGAGTCCTTATTTGTGTTTTTCTAACAAAATGCTTATTAACCTTATCTTTCAGAATAGCACTATTCTCCAAACTTTTGCCCAAAACTTGTTTACCAGTCAAGTTACTCTTGGTTTGATTGTAAGAGTTAATCCTTGCCTTGTTTGTGCTACACAATGTAGGATCTGGCTTCTTAGGTTCTGATAAGGTTTGAGGTATGTTCTCTTTGTTCAACTCTATGAGAAGGCCATCCAAAGATTTGCATTCAACGTGGGTGGCACCCACAGAACCTGTGTGCTTTGCATTTGCCTGACCTGTTATCTGCTGCTTTGCAGTTGTCAGTCCCTGTGCATTAGGTGACCTCATGGGCTTTCCTTTAGCAGATGATCCAGCTTCATGCTGCTGGTGATTCTTGCTGGAAGGTTTACAGTTTGAGTTAGAAGAAACACCTCTTGTAGTCAGACTTCTGCCCACTAGTTTGGGTGCCTCTAACTTTGGCTTCTGGGACACTGTTATATTAGCTGGTCTAGACTGGGGTTTAATGCTGATGGGCCTTGCAGCTTTGACAGGCAAAACAGCATGGTTGGTAACATCCTTTTTGGGTTTAATGGTCTGAAAAACAGAAAAATATATTTTTTAAAAATTTATAATAGCTTACTATTTTTAAAATAATGATTAAAAATAACTTTTTCAATACATGATAGGAAAAACTCTTTTATTGAGAATTTTATTTAAGAAAATAGAATCATGAGAAAGGAAAGGATGACCTTAGTAATAGATGGCTTTCATAACTTGAGTCTATTTGAAGTGTACCGACAGAATTAAGCACACTCAGTGAATATACAAAAATTGTTGTTTCAAAAATGAATTTGCCTATGTCAAACAGGGCTTGCTAGGTGCCCATCATGGGCACTGGGAAGGTACGTCTGTAATGAACTTATTACTTATGTTAGGGTACCTCTCAAATTCTTCCTTGTACTTTGCAGAGTCATACAAAAAAACAAAACAAAACAAAAAGACCCAACTTTTAAAAAAACCCACTGCCTTCATAAACATCACAGCACCAGTCAAAGAAAAAAAAATTATTCCAGGTTAAAAAAAATCTCAAACCTGTAGGGCCTGCCCCTTAGCTCAGTTCTTTAAGTGGCTGCTTCAACAAAGTAGTCAGGCTCAGGTTGCTGTGGTTCCATCCCCACAACTCAAGTCAGCCAAACCTGCCCTGAAGGCATTTGGAGCAAAAACAAACAAACAAACAAACAAACCCCTTAAACCTATCTTGTTCTAGGAGATCAGCAATGAAGTGATAGATTGGTGGCACTGAGATACACTGGACATTATCTTGGCAGACATTTAGCATTTTGGCAGAAAGTCGTCTTTATGAATCAAGTCAGTACAAGATTTTAAGGTTACATTCTTTGCAACTAATAATTAAGTGTCTTAGTCATGTGATTTAATTTTGGACAAGAAAGGGAGAATCAATTCATAGGAAACTTTGAAACCTAGAACAGGGAATTCAGAAATGATACCCATAAATACAGGAGTAAGCCACCATGGGTTCCAGCACTTCTGAGGTGAAAGCAATTATTTAGAAAGGAGAATCTCACATATTTAAGAGTATATGTCTCCTGGGAAGATCTGGAAATGCTAAGTTATCATTCTGTATTTTTGGCTTGACATTGTTGTGAAGGATCACTATGTAAACTTGGTGAGAAAAATAAAAAGGAAAACTGTAACTACATGCCCCTTTGGCCAGTGGCATCAGAGCACGAGGTGCTGCTGAGGGAGAGCTAGGGAGGGCTGGAGGTGGGAGGCAGGGCTGGATGGTAGGCCCACCTAGTTAGATCCGGGTCACATTTCGGCCTCCACATTTCTATGTGCCTCAGAACTGCATCACTGCTTAATGAAGAAATGGGGATGTTTGTAGGAAAGCTTCCAAATCTGTTTTATTTTTTGATAGTACTTCTACATTACAAATATTGAGATATAATTCATACATCATAAAACTTACCATTATAAAGAATACAAATCAGTGGATTTTTGTATAGTCACAAATGTGTAAAATAATCACTACTAGTTATTGTCAGAACATGATCATTGTCCCAGGGAGAAATCTGGTACTTGTGAGCTGTTTCCCCTTTTCTTTTCCTGGCAGCCCTTGGCAACCACTGATCTACTTCTGTTTCTGTAGTTCTGCAGAGGTCCCTATTTTCAACCTCTTTTATACAATGAACCAGGCAACATATGGCTTCTGATGTGTGGCTCCCTTTATGAGTATAATGTTTTCAAGATACACCCAAGTTGTAGCATATATCAATACTTCAAAACCTTTTAAAAATTTAATAAACTTTAGTTTTAGGTTAACATCAATAGTGGGTTCTCATATACCTGTTTCCATACATGAATTCATCATTGTTTGGGGCTTATAATATTCACTTGTGTAGTTACATACACTTTGGTTTTCCACTTATCAGTGGATGGACATTACCTTGTTTACACTTTTGGGGTTTGGGATAATGTTGCTATGAATATTTGTCTGTAAATTTTTATTAATATATATTTTCAGTTTTCTTGAGTATATAGCTAAAAGTACAATTTCTGGGTCATATGGCAGACCTATGGTTAATTTTTGAGGAACTGTCAAGCTGTTACCAAAAGTAGGTGCACCAATTCACATTCCTACCTACAATGTACAGAGGTTCTAATTTCTCCACATCTTCCCCAAGACTTGTTATTATCTTTTTAATTATAGATACCCCAGTGGGTATAAAGCAGTATCACACTGGTTTTCACTTAATTTCCCTGATGTATGAGTATTTCTTCATGTCTTTATCTTCTTTGAGAAATATCTATTTTTTTTTAAAATTTTATTTATTTATATGTGTGTGTGTGTGTGTGTGTGTGTGTGTGTGTAGCCAGCTCAGCCTACCAGGGGGTGGGGCTGGCTGGCATGTGGTGCTGGGGGATTGAACTGCGGTCCCTGTGCTTTGTCAAGTTTGTTCTAAGTAGGTGCTTTAAGACCACTGAGCCATCTCACCAGCCCCGAGAAATATCTATTGAGATCCTTTACTCATTTTAAAATTGTGGAAAGAAAAAGAAAATTGGGTTGTCTTTTAATTGTTGAGTTATTAAAGTACTTTTTGCATTTTAGACACTAATCCCTTATCAGATTAAAGATTTGAAAACATTTTTCCCATCTA